AGCCGAATGGGAAGATGAAGAGGAGGAGGAGGAGGAGGAGGAGAGGTGAGATTTATACCCTGCCCTTCAGTCTCAGAGCGGCTGACCATCTCCTCTCCCTTCCCCTCCCCACAACAGACACCCCCTGTGAGGTCGGTGGGGCTGAGAGAGCTCTGACAGAAACTGCTCTTTTTCAAGGACAGCTCTTATCAGAACTACGGCTTGCCCAAGGTCATCCAGCAGCTGCGAGTGGAGGAGTGGGGAATCAGACCGGGTTCTCCCAGATTAGAGTCCGCCACTCTTAACCACTACACCAAACTGCCTTGGCAGTAAGTCGGGGGGCCAGGCCCCGAGATGCCCCACTGTAGGTACGGGCCCGCCCCCCCCTGCATTTCCTCCCACGTCCGTCCCCCCCCCGCTCAGCCCAGCTTGACCGCATTTCTGTGAGGCGCCTCCTCCGCAAAGCTCCCTGGCCGCCTCTCCGCACTCGCCTACCCCAGACGCTCTGGCTCACGGCCAACCACACGAGAACACCAAAGCAAAATGGAGAGGGGTGGGGAGATGCACACAAGCAATGAATGAATGAAGACGTGGGGTGGACTACCTGAGGTGGCACCGGGCCCTTCCACGGCACCGTGGGGCAGCCGGCGGTAGCCAAAGGAACTGAAAAGCGGCTGATGGGGGACGGGTGGAGGTGGAGGAGGAGGCAGGCGATGGATCGGATGGGTGGTGGTGGCGGTGGAGGAGGAGGAGGAAAAGGAGGAGGAGAAGCAGGAGAGGCCGTTGGGGACGGAGGCCCTGCAAGCTGGGAGCGGGATGGCCTGGAATTCCCCGGGGCTGGCGTTCCACGGACCTGGCGAGAGAAATACAACAACCAACGTGAAAGGGGGTCCCCTTCCCCGGGCCAGGAAGGGGAGGGCTGCCACGAGGCCGTGTGGCAAAAGGCGGGGCTTCAGCAGAAGGGAGGAGATTGTGTGGCGGAGCCGCGGAGAGGCCAGGCCGCAAAATGGGAGGTGCCGGGTTCGAATCTGACCACTGCCACAATCTTAGTAGGTGGTCTTTGGCGAGACAGGGATCTTTCTTCCCCCGTGCTGTCTCCAATACGGGGCTAAAGTTGCGGGATTTTTGTCAGGGCCGGAAAAAACAGTGCAAATCTTGAGTGTTTTGGGGTAGCTTCCGCCCCGCCCCCCGGAAAGCCACAAATTCCTTATCTCTGCTGCTGGGCCCGAGAGGACCTGAGTCCTTTCACCTGCAGTGAAATCCGATCTGCTACCAAAGTCAGATGGAATGTTTCAGGAGTCCCAATGTTCCCTCTAAGCTGAGTTAGTGTGAGCTAGCTCGCAGGTTTTTAGCCTCCGGCTCACACCTTTTTGTCTCAGCTCAGGAAGGATGGCTCCAGAGCAAACTAATGTATGCAGTAGCCAAACTGCTCGCTCACAACTTTAATGCCAGTAGCTCACAAAGTAGAATTTTTGCTCACAAAACTCCACAGCTTAGAGGAAGCATTGTTTCAGAGCAAACTAATTTCTCAGCGTAGAGGGAGCATTGCTTGCAACCAGTGTTCCCTCTAAGCTGAGTTAGTGTGAGCTAGCTCACAGGTGTTTAGCCTCCGGCTCACATATTTTTAGCTCAGGAAGGAGGGCTCCAGAGCAAACTGATTGATGCAGCAGCCAAACCGCTCGCTCACAACTTTAATGCCGGTGGCTCACAAAGTAGAATTTCTGCTCACAAGACTCCACAGCTTAGAGGGAGCCTTGGTCCCGATCCTCTTTCCTAACGACATAATTGGGTTTTAGCTTAATTTAATGAGATAAGCCACACGCGCTCCCCTATCCTCCCCCCTTCAATGCACACCTAACCCAAACGTTCTAGCATAACACAGAACGTAAATTTAGAATTGAATCGATAACGGAGGATGCACATTTGGTGCTAGTAAAACAGCCAAAGCTTTTTATCAGCAAGATTCCAGGCTCTGAGAAAGGGGGGGGGGGGCTGCGCTATGAATATCCACCAGCCTCCCCCCCTTCCCCCACTCCCTTCACATTTAGCAGCTGCAGCTGCAACCCGGCTGGCACACGTTCCTCCCCCTCCTCCAGCGGGTACAAGTCACACAGGTGATGACCCTGCCAAGATTTACGGAGCACCAATTGGTTTTTCCTCTCTTCCTCCCCACCCCCCTCGCCGTCTAAAATTAAACTCATTCAACAATTGCCCTAATGCTCCAAGGAGCCGGCTTCGCATAATCTAACAGCCGACCTCCTTCCCGGGCAGAAAAGCTCTCTGCAGCACAAGTGGGACCCCGCGGGAGGTCCACGGTGCCAAAGCTCTCTGCGGCACAAGTGGGACCCCGCGGGAGGTCCACGGTGCCAGCCGGGCCGAACTTGGGGATGGGATGCCAGGGCCACAAACACTCCCGTTTAAAGGGAGGGTGTGTGTCCCCCCCTATTAGACCATGAAGTCCTGAGTTGAGCATTACCGAATTTGTGCCTGGAAGTGCATGAGAACTGAGCAGTGGTTGGTCAAACACACAGCGGCCCGGAAGAGGTTTTAGGAGCTTGGAAGGGCATCTTTGCTCTTAAAACTCTTAAAGTTTTAAGAGTTAATGAAAAGGAAAAAAGTACTACTTGAATGTCTGACTCATCAGTTTATATTGATCTAAATGAAGTGAAGACTTGATGTAATGAAGCTAGTGAGGATCTTCTCTCTTCGGTTTTTAGTCAGTAGTGGGTTTCTATACTTTCTCCTGTAGTTCCCCTTCCCTTTTTCTGTGATAGTTTTTGTAGTTTGGAAGAAAAAAAAATCCCCTCCGGGGGCTCAAAAAGAAAAAAGAAGAGCATCTTTGCCTTCCCGGAACCCTCGACAGAGTTTGGGGGAGCCCCGGTCGATGGCTGCCTCCACACATACACCCCAAATTACTGTCTGCACAAAGCCCCTTGGTTTTGGGAAAGGAGCCCTGCAAGCAATATTCCCTCTAAGCTGTGGAGAGTCTTGTGAGCAAAAATTCTACTTTGTGAGCTCCTGGCATTAAAGCTGTGAGCGAGCAATTTGGCTACTGCATGAATTAGCTTTCTCTGGATCCCTCCTACCCGAGCGAAGACGAAAAGGTGCGAGCTGGAGGCTAAAAAACTGTGAGCTGGCTCACACTAACTCAGCTTAGAGGGAGCACTAGCTGCAAGGATCTGTTAAGATGCGTCCTGTGGCCAGAACACGGAGAAAATGGACAACACCACAGGGGGGGGGAGGCAGAGGGCGACATGGTTCCCAGCTTGTAAAGAGAACCCCCCACCCCACCCCCAAGGGAGGCTATTTGCCTGTGCGCTTGCTGATGGCTTCCACCAGGCTGGACGGGAAGTAGCCGACACGGTCGTTTCCGGTCCGGTTGTCATGGATACACCCTTTCCACCGGCCGTCGGCATGCTGCTCCAGGACCTGGGGGGGGGGGAGAGAGGGGAGAGAACACAGGCGATTGTCAGTGGAGAGAGAAGGCCTTTGCAAACGCCCAAGGCAACAGTGCCCCTAGCTCACTGGGTCATAGGAGGAGGAGGAGGAGGAGGAGAGGAGGAGATTGGATTTATACCCCACCCTTCACTTGGAGTCTCAGAGCGGCTTACAAGCTCCTTCCCCTTCCCCTCCCCACAACAGACACCCTGTGAGGTGGGTGGGGCTGAGAGAGCTCTGACACAAACTGCTCTTTTTCAAGGACAGCTGTGCCAGAGCTTGTGACTGCCCCTAGGTCACATCAGCAGGTGTGGAGAGAACACAGGCGATTGTCAGTGGAGAGCGAAGGCCTTTGCAAAGGCCCAAGGCAACGGTGCCCCTAGCTCACAGGGTCACAGAACCACAGAACCATAGGTTTGGAAGCAGTGTCCCCTCTAAGCTGAGTTAGTGTGAGCTGGCTCACAGTTTCTTAGCCTCCGGCTCACACATTTTTTTGTCTTTGCTCGGGAAGGAGGGCTCAAGAGCAAACTAATGTATGCAGTCGCCAAATCGCTCGCTCAGAGCTTTAATGCCAGTCGCTCACAAAGTAGGATTTTTGCTCACAGGACTCCATGGCTTAGAGGGAGCATTGGTTGGAAGGGACCTCCAGGGTCATCTAGTCCAACCCCCTGCACAATGCAGGGAATTCACAAATACCTCCCCCTCCACACACACCCCCGGTGACCCCTGCTCCATGCCCAGAAGAGGGCAAAAAACCTCCAGGATCTCCGGCCAAACTGGCCTGGAGAAAAACGGCTTCCTGAACCCAAAGTCAGTTCCTACATGGGAGGAAGAAAACCTCAAGGCATTCCCCCTCCCCTCTGACCCAATCTTCTCCTCTCCGAAGCCTTCCCTCTGAATCTCAGAGCGGCACCACTGGATTGGTGCCAGTTAGGAACAGGGAGAATGCACTCTGTACATGGCTCAGGGACCCTTTGACGGCCAAGTGAGAGCTGAACAACAGGAGGCTGACGCAATAATTTCTGAACGGAAAACATCTCTTCCGTTAGATGTTCGGCCTGCTTCTGGACTGCCCTGGGGGAATCCGGGGACAGCTAGTGGGGTGTAGAACTAAGAAGAAGAGACTGGATTTATACCCCACCCTTCACTCAGAGTCTCAGAGCGGCTTACAATCTCCTTCCCCTTCCCCTCCCCACAATAGACACCCTGTGAGGCAGGTGGGGCTGAGAGAGCTCTCTCGAGGACTGCTCTTGAGAGAACAGCTCTGAGAGAACTTGTGACTGACCCAAGGTCACACCAGCTGGCTGCATGTGGAGGAGTGGGGAATCAAACCCGGTTCTCCCAGATTAGAGTCTGCCGCTCTCAACCACGACACCAAACCGGCACTTGCGTGATTCGGAAGACCTGGGTTCTCATTCCCACTATGCCGTTAAACAGGCTGGGCCGCTCACCCTTCCTTGGCCTATCCTGCCTTACAGGGCTGTTGTGAGGATAAGCAGTGGAAAGGGAGCACAGTTTACGGGTCCCCGAGCTCCTTGGAAGACAACCGGGGTGGAAATGTGGTAAGAATCTTTTTTTTAAAAGCTATTAAAATCCGTCTCTCTCTGGCCCAATCTGGTGGCTGTTTTGCTCCTATTGACCATGGCAGCTTCTGTTATCCAAGCTTCTTCTAAGTTCTACACCCCACTTGGTCACAGAATCCTAGAATCTCACAGAGCTGGAAGGGGTCATACAGACCTTCTAGTCCAACCTAAATGCAGGACCAGCCTAAAGCATCTCTGACAAATATCCGTCCAGCCTCTTCTTGGAAGCTGCCAGTGAAGGGGAGCTAATAACCACTTCCCCGGGCAGCTGATTCTACCTCTGAACCACTCTGACCGTGAAAATGTCTTCCCTAATATCCAGCCAATACCCTTTCCGCATGTCATTTAAACCCGTTGCTCCGGGTCCTCTCCTCTGCTGCCAACCGGAACGGCTCCTTGCCCTCCCCCAAAGGACAGCCCCTTTCAGATATCCAAATAGAGCGATCCTGTCTACTCTCCCCCAGACTAAACATTCCCAGGGCCCTCCGCCTTTCCTCGCAGGGCTCGGTCTCCAGACCCCTGATCATCCTCGTCGCTCTCTTCTGCACCCTCTCGATTTTGCCCGGAGTTCTGGAGTTGCACCTCTCCAGCCTGGGACTTCGCCCGCCAGGGGCTCCTCAGGGCCAGGAACGGTCAGTGGCCAGGCTTCAAGGCCCATTTCCGGCACAGAAGGACCCCCCCACCTCTGCCCAGGTCTCCAGGCATCCCGGAGCTGGTTCCTCTGCCCCCTTCGCTCCCTTTGTGGACGAGGCCGAGAAAGGAGACTCACCGTGATGATGTCTCCGGCTTTGACGTTGAGGCTGGTCAGGTCGTAGTTGTTGCAGTAGTCTTTGACGGCCCTGACTTGGAGGGCGGCCGAAGCGTCTGGGCACAGAGAAGGGGGAGGGCAGGGAGTCAGTGGCGGTGGCCGAGCCCCTTACTTCCCACCTGGGGGGTGTCCGGATTCTCAGCTGGGAGGCACGCGGCGGCAGTGACGCCCCGCCCTGCCCCACTGGATTCCCAGCGCTTCGATGCCAAAGGGGAGGGGAAGGTCTGGCCTATGTTGACGGCACACTTTGGGGCCCAGGAGAGTCACAGAGAGGGCGAGGAGGAGGAGAATTAGAATTAGATGAAGGAAAATGAGAAGGATTAGAATTAAAGAAGAAAAATTAGAATTAGAAGAATTAGACTTAGAAGAATAACTAGAGGAAGAAGAAGAATTAGAATTAAAAAAAGAACTAGAAGAATTAGAATTAGATGAAGAAAATTTAGAATTAGAAGGATCTGAATTAAAGAAAAAATTAGAATTAGAAGAATAACTAGAGGAAGAAGAAGAATTAGAATTAAAAGAACTAGAAGAAGAATTAGAACTGGAATTGGAAGAAGGAGGAGGAGGAGGAGGAGAAGGAGATTGGATTTATATCCTGCCCTTCACTCGGAGTCTTACAATCTCCTTCCCACTGCGGGCCTGATGGAAGCCCCCGGGCCACATGTTTGACACCCCTGCTCTTGAGGGTTCCAGCACCTCTTCCCCCTCAAAAAAAAAGCCCTACCGAGAAGCACCATCAGCACTGTCTGTCTTCCACTTGCTGCCTCTAGTCCACAAGAGCTTACTCTGGAGTAAAATTCTGTCGGCCCTTATGTTGCCCGCAAGACTCCTGTCCAGTTTGAACACTAGATAAACCCCTCAGTTAAAAGCTATTCACAACCACGGCATGCCTTCCCTACAAGAGACACTAGAGGGCAGCAGAGCCCTCTGGCATTTTTAATGATCAGCGGATAACTTCCCATTTCTCTACTTCTCCATCTTCTTTACGACAGCCCTGCAGGGTAGGCTGGTCGGCAACGTCATCATGCTGCAGCCGATGTTTGGCGTGGGTCAGGAAGGGGGTGGGGAGGCACCCCCCCTGCTCCTCTGCCCCCCCTCACCTCGCAACATCTGCTTAATCTCCTTGCTGGCTTGCGTCGCTGTGAACTGGTTGACGATGTCCAGCGCCGTCTGGCTGTAGGTGTTGCGGATGTGGGCGTTGATCCCACTCTGAAAGATGGGGAAGGAAAAAAAGAAGAAGAGATTGGATTTCTACCCCACCTTTCCCTTGGGATCTCAAAGTGGCTTACAATCTCCTTTCCCTTCCCCTCCCCACGACAGACACCCTGTGAGGTAGGTGGGGCTGAGAGAGCTCTCTCTTGAGAGAACAGCTCTGACAGAACTTGTGACTGACCCAAGGTCACCCCAGCAGCTGCATGTGGAGGAGGAGTGGGGAATAAAACCCCGTTTTCACAGATTAGAGTCCGCGCTCCCAACCACTACACCCAACATATCTTCAAGACTGCCTCTCCCTATATGAGCCCAGGAGGACACTGAGGTCCATGAATCAACATCTTCTAGCAGACCTCGGCCCCAGGGACGTCCAACTAGCTTTGACCAGGGCCAGGGCTTTTTGGTGGAATGAGCTCCCAAGTGAGATCAGGGCCCTGTGGGATCTACTACAGTTCCGCAGGGCCTGCAAGACGGAGCTCTTCCGCCCGGCTTCTGGTTGAGGCGGTGGGTGTCGCTCTTCCTTCCTGGCTATCTCCCCTTTAGTGGCCTGGATTTTGACATCGGTACTGCTTTTCTTTATTATTGAATTCATTTGTAGGTTTTTATGTTACAAAAGCAAAAGCAAAAATACAGTACGTAACTAATTTTTTTGGAGTTTTCGTTAAACATTCTTCCCAAAACATTTGTTAACTCTATGCCATCTTTTCTGAAAAGCTTTTCCGTCTTTTCCTGAAGGTCTCCTATTCAATTTATCCATTTCTGCAAGTTCAGATATTTTAGTAACCAACTCTTCTCTGGCGGGTAATTTCTCTGCCTTCCAACATTTAGCGACAAGAATTCTGGCTGCGGTACGGATATCTGACATCGGTACTGCTGAATTGACATCGGTGGCCTGGATTTTAACTGGTATCAGAACTAGCTTGTGTGCAGTGTTTTTTATGGTTTTATGGTTTTAATTGTTGTTAATTGTTGTTTTAATGATATTGTACTGAGATTGTTGTGAAGGCCCCCCAGGCCAGCCAAGGGCAGCTATTTCCGCAACCGGGATGGCTTGAGGTGCTACTTGTCTACGCTGCAAGGCCTCCACCACTTCCTGAAAGTGGGTCGGAGTGGAGTGGAGTGCAGGTGGGGGTGGGGGAGAGACTCACATCCAGGAGGAGGCGCACGACATCCGTCTTGCCGCACAGGGCCGCTTCGTGGAGCGCCGTCCCTGCCTTGGTCTGCCGGTTGATGTCGATCCCGGATTGCAGCAGGAGCCTGGAGAAAAGAGCAAGCAGAAGGATGAGGGCTGCTCCGGCCACAGGGGAGGATCCGGGGACTTGAGTGCCCGCACCGGGGTGGGGGTGGGGGT